TTCTCGCTGCCTGACCACCTCTTGTCTTTGACCTCTGCAGGGTTCTTTTCTTTTTATCCTTCAGGCTCAGCCTTCACCTCCTCAGAGAAGCCTTCTCTGGCCGCCCAGCACTTAGTGACTGAACTTACATTATTTCTGCATTTATTGTCTGTCTCCTCTCCACACGGACTGGGACCTGGTCTGCCCGGTTCATCATTTTACCTGCCGGGTCTAGAACAGTGTGTGGCCCACTGCGGCTGCTCAGCGGGTGCTGGGGGATGGGTGAGTGATGGGGGATTAAGTGGAGCAGTCTAAGGATGTCGCGGATTTAACTGTGACTGACCAGACTCATCGTAACGCGAGTCATGACCCACGGGAAGTGCCTGCAGTGGCGATCATTCATTCTGTGTTATTGTGCTTCCTCTCTTTCCTCCAGCTCCCAGGGCCCTGCCGGTTTCTTCCTCTCCCCTTCCCCTGGGTCCAAGCCCTGCCTCACTGCCCCCAGCTTCTTTGCTCCCTGTTGCAGTCCTGGCTCGGGCACAGCTCTTCCTTCCTGCACCAAGAAGACAGCTTGCAGGATTCCCAAGGGCAGTGACTAAACTGGCAGTCAGCTGGAGCAGTCAAACTGCTATAAGTCGACGCTGAAGATCAAACTCCTTTGGCAGCCACCCCATAATTATCCGACAGCTTGGCTCCTGGTGGGATAGGTGGGGAGAAGGGGAGTTCTACACATTTATTAATTTTTCTCCACCTGCTTGGAGTCCTGCTGGAACATGACTTATGAGTCCCACAGAAAGCCTGTGGCCGAGCCCTTGACAGGATTCTGAAGCCAGCTCTAGGCGGGACAGCGTCCTGGTGCGGCGGGACCCTGGGGCATGGCGGGAAGGCTAGCGGTGGCCCCAGAGCCCAGGGCAGCGCCTGGCACCAAGGAGGCGCCTAAAACCCACGCTGGGCGAGGCAGGGCCTGACAGCTGGTGGTGGAGGCTGTGCTGTCTCGCTGCGGACCTGGGCGCATTTCTTAGCCTCTTGCTTCCATCTGCAAAACGGAGACAGGCGTTTCTCTGCTGCTCCCTGATGCACAATCTTGTGAGAGGAAGCAAGGCTCACAGCAGGATGGGGCGCGAAAGAGCGGTTCCCCCAGCCGCTCCTCCTCCCGCTGTCCTGGAACAGCGACGGCGGAGGCTGGGAAGGCTGACCCAGGCGTCCTGCGCGGTGGTCAGCGGCCTTTGTGGGAGGAGGACTGCGGTGGGGAGTGGGCAATAAGGGGCCCCACCCCCAGAGTGAAACAACCCATGGGGCCCAGAGTGTCTGGGGCACAGTGATTCTCCAGGGCAGTGAGGCGCTCTGCCGTGACTCTGCCGTCGGGTAAATGCTCTGTTCGCTGAGGCGGCGGGATAACCGGGTCTGTGAGCGCAGCACCCGTCCTCACAGCATCGCCGCTCCCTTCGTAGCGTGGGCTGTCACCTGCTGGCGAGGCCCGGAATTACAGAGCGGGACGCACGCGCCCTGGTGGCCTCATCCTTGCTGCGGCGTTGGGGTGGGGGTACCCAGGCGGGGATGGAGAAGGTAGCTACAAACCCCAAATTCGGATGCCACGTTTAGCTTGTAGAGTTTGAAATTGGTCCCAAATCGTACCTGTTTTTCCTCCTGAATATTCCTGGGATGGCCCCTGCACCCCCTTTCCCGCCTATTAATTAGGGCCCCTGTCCCTCTGTCCCTGGGTCACCCAGCAGCTCCTCAGAGGCCTCCCCTTTGCCTCCCCGGCCGTCCGACAGCCAGGGTTCCCGCAGAGTGCAGGTTCTGGCGCGCCCGCCCAGGACCACGCCCAAGCCTTCCGCCCGCACAGAAGGTCCTTCGGGTGTCGCCCTCCCTCTGCCCGCTCCAGACCTCTCCAGCTTCCAGGCCTCCTTCACGCTGTCCTCGGCCCGGCATCCCCTTCTCTGCCCCCTGCCTGGCCAACTCCTACCCAAGCCACTGATGGCCACTGCAGACGCTGCCTCCTGGATGTCCGCCCTTCCCCAGGGCCAGGGCAGCGTCCTGGAGTCTGTCAGCCACTCCCGCACAGTTTGAGCCCCAGTGCCTCTTGGTCTGGGGCCCTGCTGGGGCCCCTGCTGGATTTGAGCTGGATTTGCTCCCGACACATCCCTACCTGGTTCCTCCTGGTTCCTGAGTGTGGCAGTGAGGAAACTGCCTCTCAGCGGGATGTGGATCCAACTCACTGGCCTGTGCTGACCTGGAAGCCCGCATGGTGACCACAGTTCCCTGAAAATACTGCTGAGTCCCACGGGCGTGCCATGCTCCGGCCACTTACCTCGTGTGGCTGGCTGAAGAGTGCCGTCTCCTTGGTGGGCTTGGAGGGACAGCGATGGCCTCGTGGGTGGCTTCCTGGGAGCCCTGCCCCTCATGAGGGCGTGGGAGGGAGAGGGTGGCCTGACTGTAGTGTCTACCCAACCCGAGGCCCTGGCACGGGAAGCACGTGCCCGTGTCTACTGTCTCCATATGGGGGCAGTTGGGGACAGTAGGGCAGCTGTCTCACTCGGCCCCCTTAATGACAGACCTTCCTGCTCAGGCCTATCCCAAGGCTATGCCCAAAGAGCCCCGAGACACCAACTTTGGGGGGAGGATTCTCGTGTAGGTGATTTACTAAGAACCGGTCCTGGATTGCCGCTAACAGACAAAAGGAGCAGAACAGGGAAGGTGTCTTAGTAACTTTTCTCCTTGCTGAGACAAAATACCCGACACCCAAAGTTAAAGAAGAAAGGTTTATTTCAGCTCACACTTTGTAGAGGTTTCAGTCCATTATCAACTGGCTCTAAGGCAGGTGGCATGGAGGAGGAGAAACAGCCCATGGCAAAGCGGGCAGGCAGGAGGCAGCAAGCAGCAAACACCGAGCAAAAGCAACACACCAACCCTCTTTCTGACCCTGGTACTTTATCCAGGCTACCCAATCTTGGGTTGGGTAGCACTCACACCGAGGGTGAGGCACCCTTAATCCTACCCCGAGCTTTGCCAAACCAATCAGTGGACCGATTTAGTAATCACACACCCTTGATCCCAGTGTCACACACTCCAGATCCAGCCACCTCGGAAAAAGGCCCACCTACCACCGCAGGACGCTTTGGGGGACCCTGGACTGTGGGGGGACACTGGACCCGACCCATCCGCGAGGGGAGGCAGCTGAGCTGAGGGATATTTTCAGGCCATCCCAGCGTCAGCCAGTTCAGACTCAGCAGGGCCTCTGGAGTCTGAATTTCACCTGGGGCTGTCCCTGGGCTTTCTCACCCCCAAGTCAAGCCAGTCCTTAGCCCAGGGCCACCCGGAGGGGATAACGTTCAGGCCCTTCTCCTTTGCTCTTGTGAGCCAAGGTGCAGGTCCCTGGGGGCAGGCTGGCAGAGAGAGGATCTGGTGGAATCTATCCTGTCCTGGCCTTCTCCCAGCTCCCTGTCTGCAGGAGAGCCTGTCCCCACTCTCTGCCCGAGTCTGTGATGTTTTCTGTCCTCTCTAAACGCAGGGCCACACCAGCTCCCCTTAGTGGCTGCTTCCTCACCCTTGGTTGTCCTTTTACATTTTATAAGTATTCTTTTTTTTTTGGTCTTTTTGAGACAGGGCTCCCTGCCCAGTTCAGGCCAGCCTTGAGCTCACTTTGTAGCCCAGGCTGGTCTTGAACTCACAACAATCCTCCTGCCTCAGCCTCCTGAAGGCTGAGATTACAGGCATGTGCCACAGTGTCTGGCTTCACATTTTATAAGCATTCTTGTTTGTTATAAAGAAACGTTTTCAAGTACACAAACGTATTTATGGCCACAGTGGACATTTCCTGCTGCTTTCTTTCCCGGGGCAGGTTTCTGGCCAAATGTCTTCTCAAGAGTTAAACAAGCATGATGGGAGTTCAGAAAGTTCCTGGAGGCCGCTCCCTTCATGCCTGAGGCTGTCCCATCGTGCTTTGGGAGGCCGGCACTGGCCGGCTGGGCCTTTTCTTTGGGCCTCACCAGCCAAGTGCACTCAAAGCTAGGTTCTGGCCGTGGACTTGGACCTTACTGCAATGCAGCCCGTGTCCCAGCCCTGTCAGGGGTCCCCACACGCCAGCTTCCTCTCCCCTCACTCCTATGGCACACCGGAAGTCCTGCCCACCCCAGGACTCGGGAATGGAGCCCACACCACTTGCGGGCCGGGGGTTTCTTCCCTGTGACCCTCGCAGCCCCTAGCCCAAGCTCAGAGGCTCAGGACCGACCTTCCTGCTCCAGGACCCTTCCCAGAGTCCTGGCTTTGGGTCCTTTTCCACGACCCCAGCCAGGTCTCGGCCCTGGATCGCTGGCCGCCCCTCCCTGGGCTCCGGGGACATCCCTGGCCGGGGTGTACCGCAGAGCACCAGATGCCTCTCCTCCCTCCGTGGGCCTCGCAAGAAGGGCCCGGGAATTCACAGCCCAAAACCACCGCCTCCGCAGGGGACCGCGGGAGCTGGTGTGCAAACGCCCCGGCTCCTTCTCCCCAGAGCAGGCGTCTCTGAGGCTCGTGTTCCGTGTGGACTCTCAGGGGCTCCCGTGGGACTCAGCTCCGGCCACCCAGTGTCAGCTGGGTTGACGACACCCCTCCCCGGCTGCTTCCCCTTCCTGTTCCCCTCAGCCATTCCTGGAATCACTGCCGACTGTCCCCAGCACCAGTGTCTCCTGCCTGACCATTCCCGGGGAGCCCACGTCAGGCCCCACACCCCACGCCCCCCTCTTTCCTGCCTCACAGCCGCCCTCTTCCTCCACCTCCAAGCTCTCCCTCAAGCAGCGGGCTGTGACGGTGGTCTCGGAGTCCCGCCCTCAGGCTCTCCGGGTTCCTGTCTGTCTTACACAGGACACTGGCACCAAGGAGTCTTTCAGGTCCAAATGAATCCCTGCGACACAGAGCTCCGCCCCGCCGCCTCCGGGCGTGCCCCAAGCTGTCAGCCAACCCACAGCCTGGTTAGCTGCGCCTGAACCAGTGCAACCCGGGAGAGAGGAGGCAACTCCCGAGGCGGGGAAGCTCAGCCCAAATCAGCAAAAATAAATTTAATTTGCTCCCGTGGGAGCAGTCAGTCTTTCCTGGGGACAGACCACCGGCACCTCTGTTCTCCCCACGCTGGGCGGTCCAGAAGGACCAGGAGAGTTTTGTTTCTGCAGAGGGGAAGCGAGTCACAGCATGCAGGGGCGGCCAGCACTTTCTGGGTCGTCCCTGCTCCCTGCAGGCCCAGCCCGAGCCCCTGGGCTCCAGCTCCAACTCAGGCAAGAGCCTCTTGGGGCACCGGGATGGGAGGAGCCTCAGCCACCTAAAATATCTTCTGGGGCACGCAGCCCTCCAGCTCCAGCAGCTCCGGCCAGCCCTCATACTTGTTCGTCTCCGGGTTGTTCTTTAGGAACTGGGGGGAGAGAGAGACAGAGAGTGCAGGAGGCTGTCAAGGACTCAACCCTCAAATGGGTCACTCGTCACCTTGCTACAGACCCATTTTACAGGTAGGGAAACAGGCTCACAGAGGGGCTGCAAATTGGCTGAGGTCTCCGAAATGGGATCCAGCTGGGACATGGGATCAAGCTGCTGTACTGTGGGCATCCCCAGGATGGGGGAACCGCTTTGAGAGCTTTGGCCCCTCCTCCAAATCCTCCGTCAGCCTAAGACAACCAATAGCAGGAGTGATAGCGTCAATAAGCCAGGCCTTGTGGTGCATGCCTGTAGTCCTGGTACTCGGGGAGGCTGAGGCAGGAGGACCACAAGTTTGAGCCCAGCTGGGGCAACTTAGTGATTGCTCGAGATCCTGCCGCAAAATAATAAATAAAAGATGGGCTCACTGTGAAGGCCTTGGGTTCAATCTTCAGTACCCAAGAAAAAAATAAATGAAAGATCTAGCAATTCTTGAGCACTTGTGGCATGTGGGTCACTACTCCAAACTGCCTTTCATGTTTGCTCTCCACAGCAGCCCCGGAAGTGCGTACAGTCAGCACCCATTGTACAGATGGGAAAATGGAGGCACAGCGTTAAAGTCCCTCCTGTAGTCATCCTGTTGGTATGTGTCAGGGCCACTGTGAAATATGAATGAGCACTACTAGTGCATATATAAAGAAAATAACATGAGTTAAGGTTGTAATTAAATTTCTCAGGTTTAGTTTATGGAAAAAAAAAAATGTAAGCAGCAGAATCTACCACTAAAATAACTGAAACGATTACTTAGGAAGAAGAGTAAATTTTTTTTTGGTATGGGGAATCGAACTTAGGACTTTGTGCTTGCCAGGCAGGCGCTTGTGCTGCTGAGCTATATCCCTGGCCCTAAAAAAAGTAAATTCTTGATGCTGCTTCTCTGGCACCTCCTTTCCCCTGCATGGGAAAAGGACAAGCTGGTCTTCGTGGCTTGTGGCCAGCTGATGCTGCGGCAGGGGAAGGTGGTACTGGGGTTCTTCCTTCCAATTTGCTCTCTGGCCACCCCTCTTCCACACCCGGAACTGAACTCAGGGCCTTCACACTAAGCTACATTCTCAGCCCTTTGTTATTTTGAGACAGGGCCAGGTTGGTTGGACTCAAACTGGAGATCCTCCTGCCTCGGCCTCCTGGAGTGCCACAGTTAAAGGTGCCACTGCACCTGGTTCTCTGGCCACTTTATGGTCCAGACTTTTATGTCCCTGATGCCATGTGGACATGCTGGGTCCCACCAGGACGCTGTCTCACCTCTCTCCTCTGGGAGGGGCCTCTGTGCGCTGGTCCTTGTCTAGACAGTGATTTCCATGACCTGAATATATCTATTTAGAAACACGCGCGCGCGCGCGCACACACACACACACACACTCACACACACACTCACACACACACACACACACACACACTCACACACGCCAGACCAACGTTTTCCAGGGAGAGAAGCCCGTGGGGTCTGCCGCTGGTTCTCTGCCCCTCCCTGCCTCCCGCCTTTCCCCTTTCCCCAGGTTTTCTCTGTGCCAAGCCGGGGAGCCCTGCTCAGAGCAGGAGGAAGCGGTAACAGGACCCAGCCCTGACCGAGCAGCTCCCAGACCCCAGCGGGCTGCTGAGAAGCCCCCCCCCCCCCCGCCGTCTCTGGCTTTCCTGGGAAGAGAGGCCTCCCCTCCTCGAGGGCCGGACGGACCCTGCAGGCAACTCTCGGGCACGCCTGAGCAGGGCCAGCCCTTGCCCGGCGCTACTTTTCCTTTCTATCAATCTGATCTCGCCGCTCTCCCGCTTAAGCCGCCCATGGCTCCCTGCCATCCCCGCTGGCGTGCGCCGGGCCCTGCGCGTTATTCACGCCTGTTGTCCTGTCCGGGCCCTTCTTCGAGGCTCCCTGAGTCACCCCAGGCTGGGGAGGCACCGATGGGCTGTGCCCTTTCCTCAGGGCCCCAGCTCCGCCAGCCTCTTCCCCGGGAGCGCTCCTAGGTCTCCGCATCTGGGTGGGGACCTTGCAGGACCCCCGGCTCTCCGGGTCCTCCCCTGGTGCAAGTTCGCGCTCTCTGAAGGGACTTTTGAAAGGGGCTCGGGGCTCCCCTGGCCCAAACCCCCTTTTACAGGCTGGGAGACTGAGGCCCAAAGAGGCGGGGCCTTGGCAGACCAGCAGCCACCTCCTGCCACCTCCCGCCCTGCTCGGCCGGTCCCGCATCTTGCGGCCCTCCCCGCCTCGCTTCGCTCTGAGCCGCGTCCTCCCCTCCCTGCGCGGCGCTGACCTGGGTACCTGTGCAAGCGGGACCCGCCTCCCGCAGGTGGTCAGGCAGGGCCCGAGAGATGCGACAGCACGTGGGTGTGCGCGGGGAGGGCCCCTCCTGGCCACCGCACAGCTCCCCGGCCCCTCCCCGCACCCGGCCGGCCCTCCATCCCCGCAGCCGCAGGGGACCCACCTGCTCGAAAGGGCTCTTGCTGCGCAGGTCCTTGGCCCCCAGGAAGACCCAGCTGTCCCGGAAGCCCAGCTGCTTGGCGTAGGAGCTTCCCAGGCCGGCGAAGAGCTTCCGGATCTCATCGTTCATTCTGTAGGGGACACGGCCGGCCGGGTCAGGGGGTGTGAAGGACACCAGCCGGGGCCCCCGCTCCCGACCCTGGCAGCCGCGCCCTGGCCAGAGGACATCGGGCCCAAGGGGCCGCGGGCTTCCTCTGCAGCAGGGCCTCTGGGCTCGGGCTGGGGGGGCAATGTCCTACGCAGTGTGGCACGCAGAGAAATAACGGCCTCGCGAGGAGCAGCTGAGCGGTAGCCTCACCTCCTTCAGCGCCATCACTGTGAACACTAAGACCCTCCCGCTTCACCTAACGACGGGTGTGTTCTGCGAAACGCGTCCCCGCTGACGCAGTCACTGTGGCCGTCACACTGTACTCACACAGGCCACGGTGGCCGTGACGTCACTAAGTGGCCTAATGCCATGGGGCCGGCCGAGCGCAGCTCCTCACAGACTGAGACTGACACTACACTGACTTTTCTGTCACTAGCGCCAGGGGGCGAGCCTCCTCCGTGTCCCTGAGTGTCTTCCAGCCCCTGTCCAGGACGCAGTGGTCCCCGTCTCCACACGGACAACCTCATGCTGGCGACGCCTCACCCCATAGCTTCGTAACCAGCGGCCAGGGCTGCCGTGAAGGCTGTGCCCTGTGCCCTGGCCTGCCTGTTCCCTGGGGTAAGTCGTCAGAGCGGGGAGCTGGCCGCCGGCAGAGAAGGCCCAGGGGTTCCGTTTGCACCACTGTGAGCATCTGCGGTGGAGACTGCCACCTACTTGGTCCCCGGGTCGTCGTAGGAGGCCACCAGCACCAGCGTGCCCTCGGAGATCTCCGCGAGGAATTTCAGCAGGCTGTTGGGGTCTGCGGAAGGAAGGAAAAGGAAGAGCAGAGCATTTAGGGGGTGTGACCCCCACTCTCCTTCCCTCCCGTCGCCCTCCGGGCCGGGAGCTGGCCTGGGCTGGCTGAGACCGAGCTCGAAGCAGGGGTGGGGTGGGGGTGGGTGGAAGATGGGGGTTAGCGCCCTGCAGCGACCTCCTGCAGCTCAGACCTGGGGAGGTGAAGATGAGCAGAGTGAGGGTGGTGGGGTGACTAGACGTGCAGGTTAGAGTCCCGCAGTGCACTGTGATGAGCCACTGGCCAAAGAGCCCTTGTGAACTGGAAGTGGTGACACCTGCCTGTAATGCTAGTACTGGGGAGGCTGAGGCAGGAACATCACCACAAGTTCCAGGCCGACCTGTGCTACATACACAGTGAGTTCAAGGCCAGTCAAGACTAGGTAGTGGGACTCTGTCTCAACACAACAATAATAATAACCACAGTAGCCCTTACGGGTCTCCTCCCCGGGGAACCCCCAGGATAGTTGGGGCTCTGCGCATTCTGGCTGGTCAGTGCCCAGGTGATCTGTGTGTTTATTTTCATTCCTCACAATATAAGTGATAGTGGCTTTCTGCATAGGGCGATGATACAGTTTTCTGTTAAGATATGTTTACTCAGGCAAAGAAGTGCGCTGCTTTAAAGGAAGCTAGGAGCAGTGCAGGGGTATTCTGCGTAAGGTGCGGGCCGGGGAAGGTGCTCCTGAGTGGTTGCACTGGGTGGGGAGTGGCCTCTTCATCAAAGCAGGGACAACACCTGTCACCTGAGGTCGAGGAGGAACCACTTTGTTCGTAGCGTCTTGGTAAAGCTTGAATGTGACAGGGGCTTTGAGCACAGAGGGAACACTTCAGTGGAATTACACGATTAGCACGCTGGCCCTGGAATTGGTGGGGCCCCATGCGAAAGGAAAACGTGGGGCGCTTCATTAAAAAATTAGTCAGTACTTTGACAGCAGAGCGTCAAACCCCCAGCCAAACTGCTGGTGGGAACCTAGCAGACTGGGACGCGAGCCCAGGTCCGTGCCCTGTCCTGCCTGGCTGTGCTAAGGTGACTTCCCAAGGGGCAGCCACGCGCTCAGAGAGGCCCAAAGAAAGATACAGAGGACCGGAGCCTTGGAGGGCTCCTGCCCGGATGCCAGGCGGCCCTGTTCTCACCTCGGCTACACGAGACGCCTCTGTGACCCTGGGACGCTTCCTAGCACAGCTCGAGTAGGCAAAGTGAGGGCAACCGCCAGGACGAGTGCTTCTGGGCTTGAAGGTCTGCCTCGGCCCCAGAGCCCACACACACCCTGTGCCAGGCAAAAGTACGGGAAGCGCTCGGGCATCAGGCCTGTGAGCTCCCACCCCCGGCACCTCTGACTATGACGGAGTGTCCCCAGGGCGCTGGCTTCAGTGGCAGTGGGTAAAGGCTGGACTGGACTGTGTTGGCATCCTCTAGCTCCCCACCCCTCTGTGGACGTCGCCTGAAGTTTCCCGCTGAACAGACTCTGCACTTGAACCTGAGCCTGGGAGATTTCAGGGCATTTCAGAGGCAGCGGGGAGCCTGGGCCCCAGCCAGCCGCAGCAGGCTCCCATCCGCCGCGACCTACCTCCCATGTACATGTCGAAAGAGTTCATCCGCAACACCTGTCCCGTGGTTCCTAGGGGCAAGAGGGCAACAGTTACTTCCCGCAAAGTGAGGCATTCTGCGTGTCTTTTCGCCGAAAACGGCCACTGAGTAGTCTGAGGTCTAAGCATAGAACAGGGAAGGAATAGAACCAGGTCGCATAAAGAACACGCAGGACCGGAGAGGGTGCCCGGTAAGTGCTGGGTTGATTTGAGAGGTGAGGAACACCGCGGCTGACTGTCCGGGAACGAGGAGGAATCTGACCCGCTGGGTCTGCGCCTGGTCCTGCTGACTGCTCCTGGGAGCGTGGCGCTTTTGACCTCAGGTTTTGCCCGGGTACAGTGGGCTGCAGGATCTAGGATGGGGAACGCTTACAGCGGTAAGCGTACAGATGGATTTTGGCTGCAAAACACTAATGAAAACAATGACAGTTGTCCTCACTATCCCCACCTGTATGGAAAATCTCCAAGCTTTGAAGGGAAGGGGATTTGCTGTGGTCTAAACTGGCCTTAGTTTCCCAGAGTTGGGTCATTTGAATTGCTTTTGCGGGGCGAGGAGGCAAAAGGTCAAGCTCCCGGAAGAACCTGTAGTTTTGCAGGAAAGGCGCAGTTCTCTCTCGCTACCACTAGATGGGAGTGTTGCAGAGCGGATGGCGGCTCTGCTTCTGCAGCCAGGCGCAGGTGCGCAGCCGCACCTGACTGCTTAGAGCTGGGCAGTATCCGGCACAGCTTCCCCTGGGGCCCGGGTTTATGGGGCGAAGGGAGGACCCTGTGGGCTGGCTCCGGCCGTACCTCCTCTCTGCCTTCTGCTCTCAGGCAGGGAGGAGGCCGGTTCTCAGGTTTGAGGGCCACTGGTGGGGACAGGGGTCAGGGCGGACGCGTGGGCTGTGAGTGGCACGGCCCGGTGGCCGCGGGGCGTGGGATGGGGCGGGCGGGAGCCCTGGCCTGGCCACGTTCAAGGCCCTGCCCTCTGCTCCAGGGGCAGCCATTCCCTTCTGGCTCAGGAGAGAGAGGCAAGGCCTGGAGCAGAAGCCGGAGGGAGGCAAAGCTGGGCAGGGCGGGCGGGCAGCTCAGGCGCTCGGTACCCGCGGATGAGAAAGCCCACGGGTGGGCGCTTCCTCCCTGCTCCTCACGAGGGAAAAGCTAGAACAGCAGAGACAGCAGAAGTAGCAGGCATCGGGCACTGCCGGGTGCCGCTTCAACTCCTGCGCCGTGTCAGCCTGCGCTGTGCTCAGCGTCTCCGCTTTGCAGGTAACAGACAGAAGCTCAGACAGGCGAAGCAGTTTGCCCAAGGTCACACAGCCAGTGCGGTCCTCCAGACTGGAGCCCAGGTCCGCCCGCCCCGGGTCTCGGTCGGTCGGCCCAGCTACATCTCCAGGCCTTCCCACGGTGCCTCCCGCGTGGCCGCGGGTGGGACATCTACCCAGTCATCTCGGCCCGCATCCGTGTGACCGCCACCACAAACGCGGTGCTACGACCGAGGGTTTTTGACCCTGCACAGAAGGGTTCCGCGGAGAGACCCTGGAGGCAGCGCTACCCAGCCCGGCCCAGTCCAGAAGCACCTACCACCGAGCCGCCTCGGTGCTGCCCTGCGGCCTGCGTTGGTGGCCGGCTGGAGAGGCAGGGGTGATCCCCAGGGGCTTCCCACGGCCTCCCTGACCCCAGCCGCTACTCCAAGCCGGGCAAGTCTCGTGGGCAGGGCCGGCCCTGTGCCGCGTGCTAAGCCCGCCCACGGCGCCCTCTGCCCTGTCTCAGCGGGAACGAGCTCAGGCCCTGGTCCCTTTGCCTCCCTCTCACCTGTCCACCTCCTCCTTCCAGGTTCAGCCGAAAGACCCCGGCTTACCCCCGGCCCCCTCTCTCCAGGGGACCCGCCCTGCCTTCCCCCAGCCACCCCTGTCCTTGAGGGCCCGGCTGGCCACTGTCCCTCCTGGAAGCCTTCCCTGGCCACCCTCGTGGCGCCACCCACGGGGCTGGGAGGCTGGGGGCCGTCCTTCCGGCGTGCAGCTGCCCCGGTGCCCCAGCGGCCCAGCCCGCAGTAGCTGCTGAGAAGGACACTCCGAGTGAACAGGTGAAGGCCTGCGCCCGCGCGCCTCCCCGTGGTGCGGAAGCTGTGCGCAGGGCTCCGTGTGTGCTGGCTGAGCCGGGGTGGCCCGGAGGACGGCGCCCTGCTTCCTCGGAGAAGGGATCCCGTGGGGGTGGGTGCCGTGGTCGGGGCGGGCAGCACCGTGGGCAGACCGGGTCTTGGAGGCCTTCTGTGCCCCAGGCCGGTCCCGCTGCCCACGGAGCAGGAGCTGAGCCCACGCCTCCTGCCATCCCTGCCCCTGCGGGCGCCACTCACCGTTCACCAGGGCGATGTTCAGGCCTCTGCCCACGTTGTTCTTCACGGGACTCATGAGGCTGCGGGCAGAAGGAGTGAGACGCAGTGTGTACCGCGTGTGGGAGGCCTCCCTGCTTCGGCGATGGGGCCTGTGTGGCCTGGGGCACAGGGCAGGGCTCCAGGGACATGTGTGCAGACCCGGGCGTCCCTGTGCTCCTGGGTGGGGTGGCTCTGGGGTCCCTGGGAGTGGCTCATGGCCCGTTTGGGCCAGGACAGCCTGCCGGGGTGAAGGGGCAGGGTCCCTGCCTGGGGCTCTGTAGCCCCGGGGAACCAGAAGGTTCTAAGGCCCTGGGGTGGCTGGCTCCCCTTGCAGGGCACAGCTGGTTCCCTGCGCTGGCCAGGCGTTCTGCCCCTCTCCTGCTGGTCCTCAGGGGGCTGTGCTTCTCTACTCTCACTCCGGCTGCTTCCCGGGACCGACTACTCTCTTCCAGGCCTGGGCAAGCCAAGCCTCCTGCGCTGCTGGCCACTGACCAGGCACAGCCACGTGACGCGGGGCAGCGCAGGAGACCCAGCATTGGTACTTTCCAGGGTAATTCAGGGGAACGCTCTTTTCCCAGGGCTGGGCTAATACGCCAAACCAGCAGGTACTCTCTTTCCTCCCTCAGGCAGAGATGTCTATTTTTAGGAAAGGAAAATGAAGCTGAACAACAGAGGAAAGTGGAGCTGAGGGTGCTGTAGGAAGGAGCCTGGATGGCACACATTGAACCCCTGGATCCAGCTCTTCCTGAAGCCCACTCCCTCTAGACTTTTAGATGTGGGAACTAATATGCTCCTTGCTTTGTCCAAGCAGATTTTATCAGGTTCAGGATCCTGACTTAAACACCGGCCTGCTTGCTTTGCAGGGTGAGTGTGTCCTGGGGCCTTACTCTCTAGGTTGGATAAAGGGTATCTTGTCTCTCCTGTAAGAGGTGGAAGCCCTGGTGCCTGCTGCCTCTCACCTTGATGTCTGGGTATTGGTTCTGAGTCCTCCCCTTAGGGAGCTCCTTCTGGAGGGAGTGTGGCTTTTAGGAAGACCTGAGTTCGAATCCTACTTCAGCTTTGGCTGGGCAGGGGACCCTGTCTGAACCGCACGGTCCTCTTCTGTGCTACAGGGACAGTGACAGCCCACAGCCTGGGGTGCTGGCGGGACGAAGGGACGCTTAGAGGAGGGGACTTAGCAAGGCGGGGCAGCCCTAAGGCCCTTCGGGTTTGCTGTGATTTGTGATTTAAGGGCCTGGAGTTCAGGGGAGCCTAGGACAGGTGCTGTGTTGGAGGCCGGTTCCCTGAAGCCTGGGTTTCCCAGTGAATGAGTGAATGAGTGAATGAATGAAATGTAGGGAAGGAGGCACACATGCCCTCGGGTACTTACATTTGGTTTTCAAAGCACATGGAGGGGCCCACGACGTTGGCGGCCCCACTGCAGATTTTAAAGGCGAAGAAGTTGGCCGGGCAGGGCTTGCTGAGACCACACTTGGACTTGGGGACCCCTGGGGAGTAACAGAGGCGCCTTGGGAAGGGGCCCTGGGAGGAGGGGGGCTGCTCATGCTCCGCCACTGACCCTCGAAGCACGGGCCCTGGCTGTGCACCCGGCCGCCCACCATCCCTCGGGGATTCCCGAGCCAGCCCCGGCCACCTCAGTAAGTGTGGGAGCCGTGGTGCAGTTCATGACTGGAGTCACTTGGGGAGGGGACCCTCTGAGCACCGCTCCCTGGGTCACAGCAGCCTGGTGACCCCCCCAGGCCTCTGCTGACAACCTCTTGGGCCCCGGCCTGGTGGGTACCGGGCTCCTGGCACTCATCTTCCTCATCTGCGAAATGGGTGGCTACAGCGCGTCCCTGCGGGGCTCTTTCGGGCTGTGTGGATGTGCAGACGTGGCTCACACACAGTACATCCGGGCTCTGCTGTCAGATCCCTTCTTTCCTCACTCGTCCATGAGCACTTACTAAGTGCCAGGCCCTGGGCTGCCGCAGGGAGTGGGCAGGCCGACCCGGCCCTCCCACTTGGTGCCAGGTACTTGTAATGCGCGCGCCCCCGTGGCCCCTCTGAAGACTGTGAATGAGGCCCACGCAGGGTGAACCCAGGAGGCCTGTGGCTGGCAAGAGACATGGGCGGGGCCCTAAGCTGCAGACACCGCCTGGAGGCTCAGCCAGCCCCCCAAGGCTCTTTGTGAGCTGGGGCACCAGGGGCACGTCAGCCTGGTGGGTTCCAGGAGAGTGTCTTCAGCTCCTCCCTGCACGGGGAGGGCCAGGAAGGCAGAAGCAGAGGGCACCTGGCTGCAGGGGGTGTGGGTGGGAGCTGCTCCGGAGCAAACCCAGAGACGCGGGCAAGGCTGAGGCCTGCTGGGAGCGAGGCACGGGCAGGCACTTCGTGTTCATTGCCTCGTGAAATCGTCCGGTGACTCTCGCGGGTGACACACGGCGTGACGGGGGTGGCAGAGCGGGCAGCCCCGTGATCCATGTGTGACGCCCGCCCCGGCTCCCGTCCTTGCTCCTGGGACACCCCTTAGAGGGCACTGGCAGGGAGTGGTGGCCCCCGCCGGGGTTGTGGCTGAAGACAGAGAGGACTGGGCTGGGGACTGGACCTGGCCCTGCGCTCCCCTGGGACCGGGTCCTGCCTGGAGGGTTGGCTGAGGCACTGGGCCGGGAAGGGGCCTCAGCCAGGACGCGGCTCCTCCTCCCCTCCAGCCTGGGGTCCCCACCTCCGTCCACCTGCCAGCTCTCCAGGAGGCCGCTTTAGTCTTGAGCCTGGACATCCTCACCAGGGCGGGGAGGGGAGGGTTCCAGGCCCAGGGGACCACGGCTGCTGTTTGCCCAGAGCCTGATCCACTGCCTCAAGTCTATAAACCCGACACCAGCAGCGCAGCTTACGGAGGCTTTTCCGGAATTGATTTCCTGACCCTCCAGCCTCCCCAGGCAGGCTATTGGAGGAGGGAGACGCTGCCATAGGAGTCTTAGCCATGGGGAGCCAGGATTTACTGTCTGGATTCTGGCTGAGAGGCTTCCCACCTGATTGCTCCAAACCCTAGTCCCAACCCCTAGTCCAGTTCCCTGGGGCTGGAGCTGGCATGTCATCAGAACACAGAGTGAGGGTGGTCAGGAGCCTCCGGGTGTTCCTCATCAATATGCTGGCACATGTCTCTCCTGCTTTTTTTGGCCAAATGTGAAATCAGGGAATTGGTTAGATCAGGTGGTAAGTAGGTTTCCTCTTAAATGTCAACTTGGACCTACGGTTAGGGGCCTACTGATAAAACTGCAAAGGATGCCTGTGGATCTGGAAGGAAAGAGTGCTGGGATTGATTGGTGATGTCTGCCACAGGAGCAGGCAGGACAGGAGGTGGTATGTGTGCTTGAACTTGCCATTGTCCAGCAATGGTGTGTGTTAAAGATGCTGTGAGCCCCTGTGCTGCTTTAGAATCCAACTGCAAAAGCTCCAGGAGGTGGAGTGAAGAGCAGGGGGCAAATAGATTTCATTCGCTCTTGCTGTCTTTGCTCTGTATAATCCCATGCCCTCCTTAGCTGGGGAGCACTTAACCCTGGAGCTGCAGCCCTTTTCAGGGTCACCTCAATAGTAGGGTGGGGAGCAAAGGGGCTGGAAGAGTGGCCTTGAGCAAAGGGCTGCAGAGGAGCTTGCGGCTGGGTTAGGCGGGGTGGGGATCCTGGACCAGGTGGTCTCAACTCAGTGGACCTCAGTGTCCTCACTACAGAGAGGGGACAACTATGGCGCCTACATGGGGGTGCGTGGGGATGACCTGAGACGCCTGTGAAGCGTGGACACTGCTGTGGCCTGGAGTGGGGGTTGCCACGTGTACACAGTACACCCCCATCACTTCCGTCCTCCTCCTCCCACCTTCCTGTCCCTGGGGCCCGGGGAAGCCTGTTTCCAAGGCCACGGGGCTCAGCACTCCTGCCCCACCAGGGCTCCGTCCCCACTGCGCGTGTGGCTGACTCCACCAAGCCTGGCACCGGAGCCTCAGTGTCCCTGCGCCTAGGGCGGGCCCCCTTCCCGAGGCCCAGCTGAAGGGCTCCCTCCTGCCTGCAGCCCCCGGCCTCTGCCTGGCACCCAGAGACTCGCCCTCCTCCAGGGGCACACCGGGCACTTCCACCCCCTGCAGTCAGAGCCCCTCCTTTTTGTCTCAGGTCCCTGTGGCGCCGACACTTCCCTGCAGCTGAGCCGAGCCGGGGGTCCTTGCAACGGTGATACCCAGGGGCTCCCAGCCAGGTAGGGTGCAGAGGGGGAGCCGGGGTGCCCTGTGCTCTGGACCGAGGAAGGAAAACCCAGAGCCCTGTCCCCCCAGTGTGAATGGCCGGGTGACTACCCCTGGCCGTTGAGTGAGCTGGACAGATCCTGGGCACCCAGATTTCACTGGGCGCAGAGACCCTGGGACACGCGGCCCTAGGAAAGATGGGGGGCTGGGTGGATACTCACGGATCTCCTTGTGGGCTGAGCCTGGGGAGAGAAGGCAGAATCGGGTCAGAGAGAGGCGTGCTGGTCCCCGACAGGTGGGGGTGGGGGCCGGGGCTGGGCAGTGGGAAGAAGGCATTCAAGGTGGCACTATGGTCATGAACTGGCAGTGCCACCTCCTCCGGGAGACCTCGCTCAGTACTGCTGTCACCCCTCACACAGGCACAACACGTGCACAGCCATACCCACAGCACATGCACATGCAGACACACACACGTGCACACACATGCATATGCATGTGTGCACATGCAGAACACAGGTGTAAGAATACTCTTTCACATGCACCTACAGACACATATACATGCACACATGCATGCAGACACACACACTACTCAGGTTAACAAGAAGCAGCGCTGGGCATGGTGGCACACACTTGTAATCCCAGCACTCAGGGAGGCTGAGGCAGGAGGATTGCAAGTTCAAGGCCAAACTGGGAAACTTAGGTCTTAAAAAATAAAAAACTGTAAAGGGCTGGGGATGTAGCTCAGCACTCCCTGGGTTCAATGCCCAGTATTGAAGAAAAGGAGAAGGGAAAGGGGAAGAAGAGGAGGAGGAAGAGAAGGAAGAGAAAGAGGAGGAAGAAGAGGAGGACGAAAAGGAGGAAGAAGAGAAAGAGGAGGAGGAAGAGGAGGAAAAGGAGAAAGGGGATGAAGAGAAGGAAGAAGAAGAGGAAGAAGAGGAAGAGGAGGAGGAGGAGGAGGAGGAGGAAGGGGCCGCAGCAGCAGCCGGTCTGCGCTGTGAGGTCCTGGCGTTTGCTCCCTCACTCACGCTGAGCTGTGTTCCGCCTCCCTGAGCCTCGGCGCCCTTGGCTGCACGTGGGGCGCTTCACGGCCGCCCTCCCTGGGCTGGGAGAGGGCCCTGTGCCATCGTCTGGAAGGGGCCCAGCCCTGGGCCCCAGGGGATAGAATTGCTGTTGCTGGCTTAGCCCGTGCTGTGGTCTCTCTCCTTTCCTGCCAACTGTGCAGGAGGCTTTGGGGGCCTTGGACCCTTCCAGACATCTTATCCTTACTGACGGAGGGGATGGAGGAGCGCGTCCCCAGTGGATGCAGAAATGCCAGCAGAAGGCGTGCTCCTTTTCTGGTGGGTCCTGTGAACATTCACGATTTCCCTCTGGACCTGGCGGGGCGGGCACCCATCCTAACGTGTCCCTGCTCCCTGCCTCCAAAGCCCCAGGAGCGGCAAGTAACCCAGGCTGGGCCAACGGTCCCGTTATGCTTCTCTGGGAGCAAAGCCCTTCCCTGGGCTGTGAGGAGGAAGAGGGAGAACGTGCCCTTCTCATCGGAGCTAAGCGATGTGCATCTGGACAGCTGGTAGCCTCTGTGCCCGCCTGGGAGAGGAGGCTGTCCATGGAAGCGGGCTGTAACCTGTGAAGTAGCAACAGGCAGAGCCCGAGGATCTAGAGAGCTCTAGAGGCTTTCTGGAGGCTCCTGGGTCTGGCCATACTTGAAGCCAGATCCCACTGATTTCCCAGAACATGCTGTTTTGTTGAAAACTGTTGAAGTTGAGTTTATTGCTTCTGTCTGAAAATCTCCCGCCTAATTTGCCAGGTAAGTCGGGAGTCAACCTCCTGATTTCTATGCCATGCATGCTTTTGGTAGTTTGAACTCCCCTCAGAAGAAATTTTCAGCCCCTTCCCCAGGGACACCTAGCGCTTCCTGTTCCCACAGACTGCAAGTTATTAAATACATAAAATAAAATAGATCGGATTACAAGGAAACAATTATCTATCAATATAACAACAACAGAAGTAAGTTAGTGCAGTAGAAATCCATGTGCTTCAATATGAATGCCCTAAATAATAAGATAGGGGCACGTGCCCACAGGGTGGGTGCCCCTGAGGTACATAAAACCATCCTTTAGGACGGCTCACTCATGGGTCTTAGTGGCCAGCTCGCGCCCTGGGTGCACCGCCTGCATTTCAGGTGACCCTGGATCACGCTAGCACGCCGTGGTTCCGTGACAGCTGTAATCACGTCTGTTCATTTCTCTGACTCAGCCCACGAGCAGGGGACACTCGTCCCTCCTTTGGGGGACAAGCGGCCTCATAAGCATTGGAGACCTAACAGAGCTTAACGTCGATGGGGGTTTGTTGGAGGTATTGTTTGTCAAACCACAGCTAGTTGAGATCTGGGAGATAAATAAATGCCGGGGACACCTTTCAACCCCTGGCCTTCCCACCTGCATCTGCAGCTCTGCGCTGTGGCGGACACCGTAGCCGCACAGCCTCCTGGGCCTCCTGCGCTGCCTGGCTTGTCTCTTTGAGGCCTGCAGAGCCGGTGCACAGTCTATAAAAGCTGTGCCCCTGGCCTGGGGTTGTGGTGGCCGCCAAGCACCCTCTAAATCCTCCCAGCATGGGCTGGGCATCAGCCTGGCATGAAAACGTGGGATGGGAGGAGGTACCCAGGCCCTCTGCTGTGGGCTTGGGTGGAAGATGGGGTGCCTGGTTTCTGGCGGCCTCAGGAAGCTGCGAACTGACCGGAGTCACCCAGATTATGAGGAGCTCTGTCAGTGGAGGAGGTTCTTGTTCTTCCAGGAGAACAGACCCAGTGGTGTAAGCCCTCTCCTTTCCTCCTTCTCTTGATCAGAAAGGATCTGAATCGGAGAAACACATGATCTCAGCCCTGGTCTGACAGCGCCAAGGGGAACTGGGTGAGTTTTTAACATCTCCCTGAGCTTCTGTTTCCTCGGGACACATGTGACCCTGCCACGGACCACGGATGAGTCCACTGCACAGCCACACCAGGGGCACTCCATGGGGCATCTGGGCAGAGTAAATGAGATTGTGCCCTTAAAGCAGCTAGCAGCCATCCAGCCCCTGGCTTGTGAGTTCATCCATCTGTCCATCCATCCACTTGTCATCCCATCCATCCATCCGTCCATCCATCTATCCATCCATCCATCCATCCATCCATCCATCCACTTGTCATCTCATCCATCCATCCATCCATCCGTCTATCCACCCATCCACTTGTCATCCCATCCATCCATCCATCCATCCATCCATCCATCCATCCATTTTCCATCCATCTGTCCATCCAACCATCTGCATCCATCCATTCCTCCATCTCTCACTCATCCATCCATTCTTCCATTTAAAAAAAAAAATCATCAAACGCTTAGTAGGCACCTGCTCTGAGCCATGTGCTAGAGGGATGAGTGTTCACAGAATGAAATCCTGGCCTCTGAAAAACTCACATTCTAGGGAGGGGAGGCAGGCCTCAGCCCAGGAAAGGAACCCCTGAACAGCATAGCAGGGGTGGTGACGGTGTCCTGAGGGAACGGGCTGGACCAGCGTTCGGGGGAGGCTTCTGGGGAGGTGACATGCAAGTGGAGACTGAGAGCTCAGAAGACCTGGGACCAGGGCTCTGCCGGAGAGCTAGGCAGGGGGACAGCGAGTGCAGGAAGCCCTCCGCACACAGGGATTTCTTTCTTCTTCCTCCTCCCAGCCCCTCTCCCTGCCTTTCCTGGGCACAGCCCTGCGCCTTGCTCAGGGCCCTGGGCCACTTTTTGTTGCCCTTGGCTCCAGCCTCCCTGACAGTCCGGGGATTCCCGTCTCACACTCCGTCCCCACGGGGTGACAGGGTGCTGCGGAGTCGGTGCACAACGGGGCTCCACACCTGGCATCTCCTGAGTCATCGGATGTGGGCAGGGAAGTGTCCCCCCTGCAGGCCCACCTGGGCCGCGAGCCCCACTCACCCAGCCATCGCGGCAGACGGATGGTTTTTGTGCTGAGGCTGAAGGAGCTTCGAAGGAAAAGCCACACGGCCAGCAGGGTGACGAGGAGTGCCACGAGGCGGAGCAGACCTGAGGGGCGAGTTTAAAATGCCTGTCCTGGCTCCGCTTAGACCTTCAGAGACTCTCTGTGAGAGAGGCCCAGGGTCTGAGCTTTTCTTAAGCTGCCGGAGGACGGGCCTTACAACCGCTGCGGGACCGAGGCAGGCTGCAGGAGGCGAGCACGGCCGAGGGGGTCAGGAAGCCTGTGTCCGGGCCTCAGGGCAGCTGTGTGCACTCGGGCAGGAGCTCAGCCTCCCTGAGCTGGCACCCATCAGTCAAGGATGGTTATGGTGATGCCCGTGGCCCTGAGGTCATGGCTTGCTGGGAGGGATGTTAGAGCTACCAATAGTGGAGAGATTTCAGGGTGACTTGGGTGGGGCAAGGTGGCCCCCACATTTTCCACCACTCCCCCCAAAGCCAGCACACACTGGCCTGACTGCAGCTTCTTCAGACCTCAGTGCAGCTCTGGGTACCAGACTTGCCCCTGGGCCTCAGCTCCCATCGGCCCGCGTTGAGCCAGGTGGTATGTGCAGAGCGGTTAAACACACGGCCTCCGCTCACCCTCACACCTGCCCGTGTGCTTGACGCTACTGACCACCCTCATTCACAGGTGAGGAACCCGAGAGGCAGTTGCTTCCCCACGGTCACTGGGCTAGCGAGTGACAGAAGTGGGTTTGAACCCCAGAGAGAAGTAAACTAACTCCAAAACCAGTGCTCCTGACCCTTCAGCGCTGTTCGGGAAGGAAGGTGGAGTACGTTATGTGCATTTCGTGTTTGGTGCCTCAGTTTCTCTGTCTGTACAAAGGCAGTACAGTCTGAGGGGGGGGGAGAGGGCCTTGGCCTTGCTCACGCCCAGCCCTGCGCTTTGAGGATGCTAGGAAAGACCTCCTTGAGGTCAGTATTTTGTGTCTAATGTCCAACCAGGGCCTGGCGCTCCCAAGATGGGGGTCAGAGCCGGGGTTCTGACTGTGTACCACAGTCTCCCCGGCCCTCAGCCCAGAGGCGGAAGGTTGCCTCTTCCGTTATTCCAGCTGCTCCCGGCTTGGTTTCCTCCCGGGATCCTGGCCAGGCTATTGGAGAACAGAGACACCAAAGCACCTGAGCCCAGGATGGACAGGCCCTGCTGACAGAAAGTGACTCCAGAATGAATTTCAGAGCCCAACTGTGAGAACCCTCAGAACCAGGCCCTACCTGACACTCTCATCATCCTGTCCAGGTGAAGAGTGGCTCCGGGTCAGTGTCAACCTAAGGAGAGAAGAAAATCAAGGTGGACAGTGGCACCTGGCCTTTGAACGTGAGCGGGAGTGAAGCTCTTCCTTTGCAGCTCTGTCAGCCTCAGCAGGAAAACCAGGGCCAGAGTCAGACGGACACAGCCGTTCACAGAGGGTGCAAAGGGGCAGGGCGGAGGCCCGCGTGAGGCTGGGGAGGGAGAAGGAGACGCGGAGAGGCACTGATCATAGTCCTTTCAGCTGGGCTCCTTGCCACCTGGGAGAGTAACCTTCCTCTTCTCTCTGTCTCTACCTCTGCCTTTCACTCGTGCCTCTGGAGGCTTCTGTCAATCATCATGCCCTTTTTAAGTGTGGAGATTCAAAAGTAGAGGAAGTGCGGTCTGGCAGGCACTGTCTCTTGGACCACGCTATGCCTTGTGTCTAGACCTCCCCACTAACTTCATGCGGTCATAGGTGGGGCTGTTCATAAGTGGCTGGATTTGGGTGTGAGGTAGGGTTGAGAGTGTGATGCCAGGATCAAGGTGGGTGATTACTAAATTAGTTCCCTGATTGGTCTGGCATAGACCTGGGTGTGGATAATGGGCAGGACCTCCCTGGGTGTGGGTGCTACCATCCAAAGGGTAGATAGCCTGGAAGGGATAAAAGGGAGAGGTAGGTTGCTGCTGCTTGCTGCCTTCTGCCTGCCCTGCTTTGTCATGAACTGTTTCTCCTCTGCCATGTGCCACCCTGCCTTGGAGCCGGTCAACTATGGACTGAAACCGCCACAGACTGTGAGCCAAATAAACTTTTCCTCCTTTAACTTTGGGTGTCAGGTATTTTCTCTCAGCTATGAGAAAAGTAACTAAGATAAACGATTTGATTTATTCACTCAACCATCTGTCCATCCATCCATCCATCCATATATTTGTTCATCTGCCTGTTTGTCCACCTACTTGTCCATCCATTCATGCACATATGTTTGTCCATCCACGCATCCATCCATCCATTCATCCATCCATCCATTCCTTCCTCCCTTCTTTTCCTCTAGCCAGCTAGTCAAGTGATACTGAGCTACCTAGCTCAGTAAAACCATCAGGGAGCAGAAGCTCAGGTGATTTTTGTTTATGTACGAAGATGAAAAGCAACCAGAACTCGCATGTTACAGGGAAGTTTGTGCCAGGCAGTCTGTATCTCTCTATCCACCATCATCTATCTTTTAGGGATGAGGAAGGTTTACGGGGGTTAAGCCAAGGTTATTCAACTTGCAAATCCAGAATCTGGATTCAGGGCTCCAGCTACTGATGCCTTGAATCCCCCATGGGTCTCATGGCCAGTACTTTTGCCTCAGGAGAGTAGAAACTGAAGTTTACTCCCTTCTTGAGTCCTGGGCAGGGCCAGAGTCACTCTTTCTGCCACCTCCACCCCATGTCCACCCCATGTGCTAGCAGCTACTGGACACTGGGCAGTTTTGAAAGCCCCTGGTACATCTGCAGCATCTGAGGAGAGGGCAGGTGGTGCTGGCTGTGGCTGTGCTGGGTCTGGGGCTCCTGCGGCCAGTCTGAGCTGGCTCCCGTCCTCAGGCCTCTGGCAGCAAGTGGCCTTTGCTGACTGCTGTGACTTTGCTCCCACAACTTTTCTTTCCCCTCCCCGTCCCAGAGTCTTCTTCATTCTAAGAGTTCCCCTCAGCAGATGCGGCCTCCGAAGTCCAGCCACGAGGACTCGAGCTGGGGCGGGAGACCTGGCCCTCCCTGCCCCCACCCTTCCTCCCTGGGTGTGTCTCGGCCTCCCCTCCCCTACAGGCAATGTGGAGGCCCTGGGGTCGACGGGACCTTCGTATTTAAAGAACAGCAAGTACAAAGCCACATCTCCCTTTGTGGATTGTAAACGTGCTCCCAGCTGCCCAACTCTGCCCAGGTGACAAGTCTGGGGTTGCGAGGCAAGGCTTTTGTAAAACTTTAACTTCCTAAAATTCAAGTTACCAACTTAATTTTTTCAACTAAAAAAAGTGTATTAGACCATGACTGTGCTCGGGATGAGACCTACAGCCCGGGAGTGCGGCTTGGACGAGGGTGAAGGCCGTTCTGTAGGGTGGAGGGCCGGGGTCGCTGGGGACGGCCAGGCTGGTGGAGCAGGGCCCGGGGCCAGAAGGACACGGCCATCCGCACAGCACATGCAGAGGGACAGAGCGATCCCATCAGGGCCGGGGCCACGTGGGGCTGTGGGGGGGAGAGGGAGCAGAGATGGTGCAGAGCAGAGGAAGGGAGAACGAGGAAGGGACAGAGGAAAAGTAGTTGAGAAGTGCGGAGAGGCAGCGAGAGCGGGAGACGCAGGTGGGCACACACCTGGGCGCAGTGCGGGCCTCTGGCTGTCATGCCCGTGCCACGCCGGGGTTCTGGCTCTAGGCTGGGGGTGGGGAGGAGCAGGGCCAGCCTGATGTCCCTCCTGGCAATCCCTGGCTACCCACCTGGCACCCGAAGTCCCCGGCCTGCTCTCCCTGGCAGGCGTGGGTGCTGTGGAGCTGGAGTCCAGGACCGGCCTGTGAGAACTGGGCAGGTACCCAGCGCAGAGAGGAACCAGCCCTGAAAACAGCTTTTCCTTCTTGTCCAGCGGGAGCCCGTCACAACCTGTTATGCAGGTTACCGTGCGCAGGAGAAAGGCCCCATTGCCCGGGCCCGGCCTGGCCCCCAGCCCCTGATAAGGCCTGGGTGAGTGTGCGCACCTGGGCAGCTGGGCCAGGGCTGAGGTAAGGCATGGGGGCGGGGCAGGGCACAAATCACTCTCTGAGCTGCTGCTCCTCCCTCCTCCTGGACGCCCTCTGTCCGAGCCTTCGGGGCCACTGTTTAGTCATGTGTTTGAGCTCTTTCTGTTCCACCACAGGCCCTGTGTCCTGCAGGCCTAGGGCCACCCTGAGCACCGAGGAGGTGGTCAGTGAGTCTTTGGAGACTGAGCGAATTAAATGCTTGCGCAGTCTTGGGAGGCTAGTGTGATTAAACCACCAGCTAGAGGAGGAAGCTGAAGCTCAGAGAGGGCAAGAAACTTGCCTGAGGCCACCCAGCCGCTGTGGATCCTGAGGCCCTCAGGCTCTGTGGCAGGCAGGTGGGCACCTAGCGGGCAAGATGGCTGGGAGTGAGCCAGGCTCCGCAATGGCCCTGGGCCTTCACACTTGCTTGCCCTTGTCCTCTGCTTCTGTGCCTGGAACACTCCTACTCACCCCTCGGGTCTCAGCGTAGAAACTACTTCCTCTGGGAAGCCACCCTGACCCTCCTGGTCAACTCGAAACACCTACCTGGAAGCACATCAATCCTGACTCCTGACCCTGTTATCTGACTGGCCAATCAGAGCTTTGTGATGTCCTCATGATTGGCTGTGAAGTGAGCATGTGACCCAAGGAAAGCCAATCAGAGTTATGCCTAGGATGGAAAACGGGAGGGAGGAGCCCTTTGGCCCCTGGAGATGCTTCGCTCCATTGTCTCGAAGTCCGGGCTCGCAGGCTCCCTTTCTCAGCTGCTAAGTTCGTCCCTCCCATAGGCACAGCCTGTGGCCCCTGGGCCTGTGGCTGTGGAGCTGTCTTGCATTAGGTAGCAAAACGCCTGTGAAGCTGGGACGGAGGGTACGTCTTGGGATCAGACGGACACAGGCTGTGGCTTACGCACTGGGGTATTGCTGGGCCGCCCTCTCTGGGCCTAGATTTCTCTCCTTGTGAAATGAGAGTGATGCTGTGTACCTGTGCCTGAGGGGGTGTCAGCCGCCGGGTGACCATCCCTCCGGAAGCCTTGCCAGCCTGGTGCCTCCACCTCACCGCTTCCTTGTTTGCGGGCCCGTTCACCCCTGCTGCTTCCTGCTGGTGCCCTTGCTTGGCCGGAGTCCCACCCGGATGCACTCTTCCTGCCAACCCCGGCCGCCCCGCGTCTTTCTACCTGCTCAGTTGTGACATTTCTTTCACTTCATTCATTTTTTCATTTTCCTTTGTTGCGTTCTCTCCTTCCCTTCCTTCCCCCTTCTCCCTCTTTCTTTCTTCCTCCCTCCCTCCTTTCTTTTTTTTGGTACCAGGAATCGAACTCATGACCTCAGGCTTGCCAGGCAAGCACTTATGCTTCTGAGCTACATCTGTGGCCCTCTTTCTTCTTCTTTTTTTTTTTTTCTTTCTTTCTTTCTTTCTTTCTTTCTTTCTTTCTTTCTTTCTTTCTTTCTTTCTTTCTCTCACTCTCTTTCAACACTGGGGATTGAACCCAGGGCCTCATGCATGCTAAGCCTGAGCTCTAATACTGAGTCATCAGTACTAGATGATGCCCTTTGTGACATCACAGGGGCCAGGATGTCACCTTCCTCCTGTACCAGGACCTTTCAGCTCAGCTATGACCTGTCCCAGATGCACGGAGAGAGCGCCTCTCCCGCGAGGCTGGGTGTGAGCAGAGCGCCTGGTGGGAAACGAGTGTCTCCCCCGGCTAACCCTGGCTGGCGCGGCCCGCTCTGTGAGGTGTGCCCATCAAGGTGCCTGGTCCTGCTTCACAGCGGGCCCCAAGTTCGGCCACCTCCTGCTCCAGCTCTCAGCACCCTTCTTCCTGTCCTGCTGCTGGCACAAGGCGCGCAGAGGGTGTGCAGCACATGCTGCTGGGAGGAAGTGACTTGCTGTTTGGGAAGGTAAAGCAGCACTTAGGAGAACAGTCGCCCTCGAACGCCCTCCTCTCCTGCAGCTCTGAGCGCCTGTTCTGGGACAGACAAGATTGGCAACTCTGTCCTGCAACAGTTATGTCATCTCGTTCTCCCGGGAGGCATCAGGCTCTGTCTTCTTTCCAGGCTGAGTTATTAGCTGCTGCGTCTTGCTTCTGTGCCCTCGCTCCCCTCTGCCCCCGCTTCTAAGACCAAACCCTCTGCCAAGGGCTTAAAACTAGAGCCTTCCTTCGTTCTAACGCCCAGCACTCTGGATGCGAGTTCTGGGTCGATGTGCATCTAAAATCCTGGAAATAAATCCTCCCTTTCCCCACCGGGCTTTCTGATCTCTTGGATTTCTGCAACAAAAGGAGCTTGGGAGGAGGGGAGTCCGGGGCTGCTTTTTCATTCCGTGCCCAACGCTTTCCTCCAGAACCGCTGTGTCCATCGGACACGGCCAGGCTTGAGCCTCAACTGGCCTCTAGGGAAAGTCCAGCACGGGCCTCGTCCCTGTCTTTCCGGACGTTGTGTGGACTGGGCGCACTCACCAAGGCAGGGCCCGTTGTCTGTCCTACGGCCTCCTTCCATTCCCCTGTCTCTGCCAGAAGCTCTGTGTGGACAGGGTGCCTGGCAGGGGACTTCGTCTGTGTTGTGTGGGAAATAGGAACACGAGCAGCCGGGACAGGACAGGGCGACAGACTCAGGGGGACAGACAATCTGACATAGAGAGACATGCTCAGGATGGAAAAGAAATAGACTCTGAGACGCGTGTGGACAGGCATACAGGCGCGCACGAGTGTGCTCACCTGCACGTCAGGCGCTGCGGGGAGCGCAGGCAACCGGGAGTGGTGCAAACCCCCAGACCCAGCTGCCCCCCCCGCAGCTTCCAGTCATCTCCCAAAGCCATCCCGAACACCGTGATGGCGGCCTTGGCCTAGGTGAGCTCGTCAAAGTAACCAGGGCCACCCTGCGTTCCCTAAATGGTCCTTGTAAATCCCAGTATTTATAGGCAATTATTGACCATGCCACCATAAACAGTAAGGCTGGGGGTGTGAACAGTTTGTTCCGGTGACATTTACTTTGGAAAGAATTAAGCCCATTATTTCCATTATGCTTTGTTCTAATTTTATTTATTGGTTTGAATAGTTTTCTGCAACTCTGACCAATGGCGGCATAACTGGGCCACGCACAGCCGTACAAGAGGAAGTGCAAGGTCTGGACAGGTAGAGGATTCTGAGGATTTTCCTCCCCAACCCAGACTGGGCCATTTCCTAGACTAAGACAACAGACGCCTGGTGCCAGGACTACTCTGAGACTTCTAGATTAACCAGTTGATCCTACGACAGCTTGCTAAGGAAGCTGGGGAAACTGAGGCACGGAGTGGTCAGGTTGCACTGCTAAGAGTCAGAGGAAGAGAGGTGCCCGGGGTAAACTTAGGCTGTCTCTGGCGCCTACACCCTTAACCACTTGGCTCCGTGGCTCTCTAGTCCAGGCTGACAGTGTTCTGTGAAGGACCAGATCATAGATACGTTGGGTCCTTGTCAGCCTCAGTCAAAACTGCTCAGCTCGCCACCAGAGTGGTAAAGCAGCTGTCGGTAGCATGTAAATGAGTCAGTGTGGAGTGTTCCAATAAAACTTTATTTATATAAACAGCTGGGGGCCACAGTAGCCTAAGGCTGTGTCCATGGCTCTAGGTGGCTAGGAGCCCTGCTCTCCCTGTCTGCAGTTCAGCTGGCTTTGGCTGAGCCGTGGTGATGGGGAAAGGAGGCTTCCAGGGTGATGAGGGTTTCTAAGGTTCTGTCCCCATCTTCTCTCTTCTCAGCAGCCAGTGCCTCGCTCAGGGGCTGCTCCGGGGACCCCAGTTCACTTGGCGGGGGCAGCGCCTGTCCTCTTTCTTTTCATGGGTTTTCAGGAGGACTTTCCTCTCAGGTGACCTGACGGAGCCCCTTTCCTAAAGTTACCCTGCTTGGTGCCAGCACCCAGGAGGTGCTGAGAAATGGCCACTGTAGTCACGTTTGCGCCCTTCGGCCTTGCAGGGCCCTCCCTGGCCTCAGAACTGGGAGTCTCTATGACTGGGTGGGTCCATGGGGGGCCTGGGTGTCCCGGGTGGATTTTGCCAGGGGACTGCAGACACAGTCCCCCGTCAGTGCTTGGCTGTACATGCACACTGTAATCCTAACCTAGTGACAAATGCAGGGGTGCATCTAAAACAGAACCGGCACAGAGGAAGCGACAGGAGCATTATGGAAGCAGGTCCCCAAGCCGTCTCCTCTGGGGAGGCCCCCTGTACCCTCAGCGCTTCTTCCAAACCCTCTGAGCTGAGAGAAGTGGGTATGCTCTGAATGGGACAGGGGTTCCCCGGGTCCCAGGAGAGCGTCTGGAGAAAAGGGGCACTGTCTGTCAACACGAGAAGAGCTCCCCTCTCCCCTCTCCTGACCCTGCAGGTCTGTTAGCCCCAGAGGCCAGGTCGTGTCACCCGAGTTCTCTGTGCTGAGAGCTTGGCTGTGTCAGGAGAGGTAATTGGACCGGGGTGGGGCTGCCTGGAGCCTCTGGCTTCGTCCATTGGTGCCTGTCAGTGAGTCAGGCATGAAGAACACACCCAGCCAGCGGGTAATATTGTCTCTTTCTGCCACAGGCTGCTGGATTTTGGCCTCTGGTTAATCAAAATGGCGACCTCCACAGTGAAAGCAAGTTTTATCTAGGAAGGTATAGAATCCAGAGAATCTCATGGAAGGAAAAAAAAAAAGGGAAAAAAGATGTTTTGAAACAGGGTCTGGCTACATAGTCCAGTCTTACCTTGAATTTGCTTTGTATCTCAGGCTGGACTCAAACCCATTATCCTCCTGCCTCAGCCTCCCAAGTGCTGGGATTAGAGGCATGTACCACCACAAAAATCTTAATCACAATCATGATTCTGATAAACATTATGATTCAGTCAATGGGGGAGCCTTGTGTCCTTTAGTTTTCCCAAAAATTTGCTTTGGAACTGGATCCCTCCCTCCTACCCAGGTGGGTAGGCCTGTTCTCCAGCTGTAGGGCCTCGGCCTGGCTGGTGAGTATTTTCTTTCAGGAAGAGCACTGCCTGTTGCTCAAGGCCTTCTCCATTTCAAACCACTGCTGCATCTGCAAGGCAGCCTCCGATTAAGTTCGGCTCCACCTCTGCTGTCCTGAGGCCCAACAGGCCTTGGAAGGGCCAAAAGCCCAGGCCAGCTCCTAGCTTTCCTCCTACAGCTGCTTCCTGATGGCTAGAAGCCACGCGCCTGGCATTTTCACCAGCGGAAATGGTACTGACAACAGGACTGTCGCTCTCTGGCGCTGTGCCGTGTCCAGCCTGTCCTGCCCTGCTCATGGACTCCCGGCTCCTGCTCCAGCCTCTGCGTCTGCGATTTCCTCCTCCAGGGCTGCAACCCCTCTGGTCCCCTGGGGTCCCCTGTGTTTTGTGTATTGAAGCCCCTGAGGTGTTCCTGGGCAGACTGAATGGCCCCGGCCTGTCCCCCATCCCCAGCCCCACCGCCCTGGGCCTCAGTGATTCCTCTGTCAAATGGGGATAAGAAGATCTACCATGCAACACTGATATTTAAATGCGCCGGTCCCAGTAAAGTTGTCCAGAATGTTCTAGGAGCACAGTGAGTCCTCCATGCCCGTCACTGGTCGCTGTGACTTGCTTGTGATCACACAGAGCTTCACACATCCCTCCCAGAGCACACCCCCCTCCTTTCACTGTGGTCATCGGTGTGACTCTTTCACCTGACATGCTGTGTGCCTCCTCAGATCATGCCCATCCCTTCCAGAAGCCCAGGACCTTGCCCAGGGCCCGGCACATAGTAGGCACTCAGCTTTGATGACAGTGCTGTCCTGTATTCCGTGCCTACTATGCGCCAGGCTTTGTGGTAGGTGCTTCACACAAATGGTCTTTTTCAAAATTCACATGTGTCAGAGTCTCAAGAGATTTAATGCCCTCCTCCTTTTGAGGTGAGAGAGGCTCAGACAGGTTCACAGAGGAGAGGGAGGGCCTGAGGAGACACAGGTGGGAGAGGCAGAGCATGGACTCAGAGCCTGCTGCTTGCGGGCTTGCCCTACAACTTCTCCTCCCCAGCCTGTGCCCTTGGGGAGCAAATCTCAGAGCTCTCATCCTGCTTTCCAGTGCCTTTCAAAAGCTGTCTCTGGGTACCAGCCAAAGAGCCCGGGTTCCCTGTGTCCGTGAGGAGGTTCGGCCTGCACCCCTACCGGCTCCAGAATTGCTGTTGGAGTGCATTTGCTGGTGAGCAGTGGGCCTGTGTCAAGCAGGGAACCGCGCTCTGGAAGAGCTGTGGGAACAACTGCTGTAATAAGACCCCAGACCCTTGGCCGGCAGGGGCCCCAGGTCATACACATAGGCGGGTGGCCTGGGCGGACACTGGGCAAAGCCAGACTTCCACAGCGGTGCGTGGCCTGTGCGTGACACTTTTGGACCTCACTTCCCCGACGGCTCCTTCCCTGTCTGGTCTGGGGTCCCGCTGCCCCTTCCCTTCCTTCTGTCCCCTTTAGCGTCCCCACTGTGCCCAGCACATAGCTGCCTGGCCCTCTAAGGTTCCAGCATATCTTCACAATTTATCTCCTCCTCAGAGCAGTCTCGGCCCTGATTCTCAGGCTATCCCCATGGTACGTGTAACAAAAAAACAAGAACTATTTTGAAAATGACTATTTTGAGGCTGGGTGTGGTGGCATACACCTGTGATCCCAGCACTTGTGGGGCTGAGGCAGGAGGATCGCTGTCAGTGCTAGGCCCGCCTGGGCTACACAGTGAGTTCAAAGCTGGTCTGAACTGCACAACAAGACCCTGTCTCAAAAAGACCAAAAAAAAAAAGAGAGAGAGAAAAGAAAAGAAAAGAAAAGAAAAGAAAATGGCTATTCAAAAATTTGCGAGGTTTTTTGTCTTTTTTTCCTTCTGGTTTGAACAGCTGGTGTTAATCACTGCAGCCCCATTCACCTGACCTGAGGGAGGGGCTTAGTTAACGCTCCCGGAGTGACTCATCTGAAAGGAACAGCACACCCGGGTGACCAGGCTGCTTGCCTCTCTCCTCTGACTTAGAGTCTGCGGCAGGTGGCACAGTGTCGGGGCACGAACTCGCAGCCGGACTGCCTGGGCAAGTTGCTAAATCTCTCAGGGCCTTGGTTCCCCACCGCAGAGTAGGAGTGGCACTAGGCTCCTAGAGGCAAGAGGAGGGTTAAAGGTGTCACACTGAGAGTGCATCACACACAGTAGGTGCTGCTTTATGTGTTCAGGTGGTTGTTATTACAGAGGTCTTGACAGGAAGAGCATCAGCCCATTTTACAGATGAAAAAAATGACCCAAGAGTATGCCCCTTTCCCCGCTGGCAGAGACGTACCTGAGGGCTCAGGCTGCTACTTCCCTGCTTTGATGGAGGAAGCGAGGAGGTCTGTCCGGCACTTTGGGTCCTGGCCCAGCCAACTGCAACCTGCCCCGTCCTTGGGTCCAGCCTCCTGGCTCTCGGAGGGGCTGGGGCCTCCCTGGCGCCTCTTCTGGATGTGGCAGCCCGGAGAGAGGCACGGGGAGCTCATGGGCTCTCGATGGGCCAGCTGCTCCGGCCCTTCCCGGGCTCGCGCCCTCTGCCGTGTGCAATCCCTGCCTCGTTAAACAATCTCTCCAGGAAGGAGGAAGTTTAACCTCAGCACTCGCTTGGAGGAAATGAGTCTATAAAGTCTCGCCCAGGGCCTGGTTGGGGCACAGGAGACGGCTGTGCCCGCTGCTGTCTTTCCCGCACCTCTGCCCTGGTCTCTCAGGCGGGTGAGCGTCAAGTAGCTTAGTCAGGAGCAGAATACCACAGCGTGCCTTAGAAATAGCAGAAAGCACCCACACCTCTGCTGACCACATCCTCAGGCCATGGGGGAAGGGAGGCCAGGTAGGGAAAATTGGGTGGCACCGTCACCTGCTCTCAGGCTCACTTGGGACCCTAGGGTCCTGCTGTTTGTTGACCTTTCTTGACCTTGACTGCTTCTAAGAGAATATATGACCCAGTTGGGATGCATACTGGGGACACAAGGCCCCTAGCTGGTCAGGAAATAAAGACAAGGGCCCAGGAGCTGGAGCCAGGGGGAAGCAGGGAGCGATTCCTGGGAACGGGTGCCTGGGGCTGCCTGTCCAGGTGGGAGTGAGGCCCCTGCGTCCAGCCCTGGCCACCATCTCCCCTGACTTCTCTGCCTGGACTGACCTCCCCTGGTCATTCAGACCTGCCCTCAGGATCAGCACCTCAGGGAACCCTACCCCACCGTCCCGATTTAAGGAAACAGACCGGCCACAGGCAGCTCCTGAGGCCCCTGTGGAGGGGGTACCTGTGCCTCCTCCTCCTCAGAGGTCAGAGGGCGTCCGTGCTGGAAGATTGGAGGTGCATCCTAGGTGTTTCCTAGGCTGCTGTGACCAACTTCCACATTTATTATTTTGTAGTTCTAGAGGTCAGAAGTCAGACTGGGGCTTCCTTGGGCGCGGCTGTACCCCTTCCTAGAGACCGAGGGGAAGAGTCTGACCCCTGCCTTCTTCAGCGTCCAGAGGTCTCCATGACCTCTCTGCTCTGTCTTCAGAGCTAGCACTGTGGTGCTCTCCGACAGCTCTTCCTTCTTCACGCGTCTGTCAGACTCTCCCTGCTGTTCCCCCTTCCACTTTTGAGGACCCCATGATTGCACTGGGCCTAGCTGGCTACTTTCCCAGTTTAAAAATCTCTGATGAAGTTGGGTGAGGTGGTGCACCCCTGTAACCCCAACTACTCAGGATGGTTGAGGCAAGAGGATCGATCTTGAGTTTGAGGCCAGTCTGGGCAACTTCACAAGAACTCATCTCAAAATAAAAAAAAAAAGGACTGGGAATGTAGCTCAGTGGTACTCTGCCCCCGTGGTCCAACCCCAAGTACCATGAAAATTCAGTTCATGAACAAGCTTTGTTCTCTCTGCAAGCTCAATTGCCCTCTCCCCTGAAACCGTACATGTCCACAGGCTGGGAATTAGGATGTGGGAGTTTTGGGAGCTGTTATTCAGCTAATCACAAGTTAGCTGGGCACTTCGGAAGAGCATTGCCCGTAGTACAGGCTCAGTGAATTCTGACTGTGATCATCCTCACATCTTGGGTGATGGGTGCGTGAAATGTCATCAGTGAATTTGACTTTGTGATCTTGATTGTTCTTGTTTATCCTGAAATGAAATATCCTGGCTATTGCTAGGACAGAGAAAGTGGGGATCCCTTTCCTGCCCACCATAAAATGTCATGGCGGACCTTTAACAAAACCAAAGGCAACTAACCAGGGAACAGCATAACATACCACTTAATTCCCACATGTACACCGGAGCCACACAAAATGCGAAAAGCCGAGAAGGTCGGGATGGTTGAAGCTGAAATCCCCTCTTCACAGAGGACGTGGGAGGGGCACAGCAAATTGCTGGCAGGAGCAGGCCTCACAGGAGCTCAGCACCTTAGGACAGTGATTGCCCCGGGGGTCCCATGCAAGCCTGTCTGGGTGTGGTGAAGACTTTGAATCTCTTCCTCCCTCCCAGGGTAACCCTTTCCTGATTATCTGATAGGACTGCTTGGGAATTCCAGACTGTGGCTTTTCTCTGGGGAGCAGCTCTGGCTGTCAGATAAAGGGACCTTGAGACAGCTTCCTGCCCTGGCCAAAGTGACACCCTTCAGGGCATGGTTTTCTGAGCCCTAACACTCTAGCGTGAACCCCAGGAGGGCGGGACCTGGGACTCGGCCAGCCTTAGGGAAGCCCCACTGCAAGGAGCAAAGGAGCCACCTGGGCCCTCGTCAGCTGCCTACACAGGGTGCTCTGTCCCGAGAGCTGGAGAGCCGGGAGCTGTGATTCCACACTGTCCTGCGAGGCTCTGTGATCGGAGTCCCCTCCTGTGGCCCAGCGCAGCCCTGGGAGGAAGGGAGGACAGGACAGCCTCCCCGGCATTGTGCCCTGCAGAAGCTCGCTACTGGCACAGAGGTGGCAGCGACTCCCCCCCAGCTCGGAGGCCCTGCTGAAGCAGCGACCTGAGCTGGTGCCTAGGAGACCGCTCCCCAGGGTGGGCTGGCTGACCTTGGTGCTGGTTCCCCACACACAAGCAAATGCCCAGTGCACGGCCCACCTCACCTGCGGGGAGCACGGCCTGGGCCACACTGGCCTGCGTGTGTGTCCTGACTGCTGGGGAACAGCAGTTACTGTTACTATCTTGGTCAGTGGCTGCCTCCTCCAAGCCTTGTTTTCCTCTTCTACGATCATCCTTGCGCTGCAGGGTGGCTGCAGAGGTAAAGGGCACTTCGGAAGAGCATTGCCCGTAGTACAGGCTCAGTGAATTCTGACTGTGATCATCCTCACATCTTGGGTGATGGGTGTGTGAAATGTCATCAGTGAATTTGACTTTGCCGGTGAAAAGGGCCAGGACGCCTTTTCTTCTCTCTCAGATGCTGGCATAGACCTCGCGGGGTTAAGTTCAAGTCTGGATACGGGTGTGGCTGGAGCAGGAGTCTGGAAAGTGAATGATTAATGCTGGACGGTTGATTCATTTCCCTGGAGTGTGTTTGGTGCGAAGAGCTGACCCAGGGCCAGACAGGAGGTGGGGACGGCCACCTGTCCTTTTTATTGTCATTGGACTCAGGACTCTGGCTCTACTGCCAGCCGGCTGTACCTGCTCAGGGAAGTTACTGTAAAGCAAGGGCTTGTTTCCCTTACTAGGTATAAAAATAACACAAACCCATCATGAACAGTTTTGAAAGCCCTGAGCAGTGATGGAAAAATAACCAGGCAAATGTCCCCTGGGGAAGATGTTACTATCTTGGTCTGTCTCCCCCCCTGTCGTGGAGTAAGATCTTCCTGTGCATCTGGCTTTGACTCCTCACTGTTACACCCAAGGAAGGCATTTCCTGGCACCACTAGAAACCTGTAGGTGCGATCCCTCCTTAGCTGCACTTAATTGCGTGTCACAAAGTGCCATCTTCGTCTGCCTTCCCCAATGGCTGGGCGTCTAGGCCCTTTCTCTGTGAGAGTGTGTGGGGTGTGTGTTTAGAGGAGCACCGCAGGCATGCGTTGTGACTTCTGTGCACCTTGATCTTTTCTTCTTCTGTGGGACTGATCATCTCAGCCGCCCACCCACAAGGTTTTATGAAGCTTAAAAGAAGAAACAGACATCAAGGTATTTTGAAAACCGTGGGGCAAAACAGCCTTTGAAATGAAAGGCCAGATTTTGAGCACTCCCTCTCCCTCTTCAAGGTGTGTGTGTGTGTTCCTCAACAGCAGAACACAGATGAATGTGGAACTAGGAATAATAGCATTCAGCACTGACAGAGCGCTCTATTAAACAAGAGACATGCACAACCCTTAATTCATCCTAACAGCAAACTCTACAGAGAACTATTATCTATAGCTAAATGGGGAAACTGAGGCATGGAGGGGTTAAATAATTTGCCCAAGGTAACACAGTTAGCAAGTGCAAAGTACACACACGCACACACACACACACACACACACATATACACACACGCTTTTCTCTGAGAGCCTCTGGCTCAGCTATGAGGGCTCCAGGATACTGCAGCAATACCCAAAGTCCTAGAATATCCTAAAATGAGGTTCCTTTTTCATTTGTTGAGCCCAGGCTGGGTCCTGGCAGGCAGGCAGACAGGCAGGCAGGCAGGCAGGCAAGCAGACAGGCAGGCAGACAGGCAGGCAGGCAGGCAGGCAGGCAGGCTAATCTGAAGATTATTTCTCCAGTGCGGAGGCAGTTGCTGAATGAGTATACTTCGTTCTAAGCACAAAGCACAGAGGAGCAAAGCCTCCCCTGGCCTATCTGAGACCAAGCGGCAAAGCAGCGTTGCCGTGTGTGCATCTCAGCACAGGTCTCCATGGCACACGTGTGTGCACAGGTGCATCTAAGTGTGAGCACCCATGGGCATGCATGCTCATGTGTGGTGGGGGCACCCAGAGGCTGGTAAGGCTATATTTGACCTTCTCGGTGGCCGAAAGCAGAGGGTTGGTTCACCAAGGAAATGAATATCCACGAGCCCAATTTTCCTAGTTCTAGTCTTTGAGAAGAAGCCGGATGAGGACCTAGGCAGGCATTTCTTTGTGCTCTCTTCTGCATCAGATCAGCAGCATTGTTCCCAACACCCACGGGCCTTGGAACAAAAAGAGGCCGGGTGCAGTTGCAAGGCAGGGGAGGAAGGCACAGAGCAACCCCTTACCAAGCGGTGCCGTCAGTAAGGCACCAACAATTTGGGGTTTCCTTGCTGTCTTTAACTGGCCAAACCCAGCGTGGCCACAAGTGCCTTGTGTCCAGATCTGCTTTGTCATAAGATCGGTGCCTTGGCGTGGGAGACACAATTAAGGACGGAATACTAATCGACTTCGAGATTTCTCTTGCAAGCATTAAAAATTCATTCCTCCATTCACTTCTTCCAGTGCTGCTGTGTGGATCCTTTCCTGACTGCAGCAGCGAAGAGGTGGGAGGGAAATGTTTCCATCGGGACCAGGGCTGGAGTGGCATCTGGAATGGACGCTTGGGGCTTAGAGGCCTGCTTCACAGTGGCCCAGTCCGAGCATCCACAGTGTGAGTCACACCCGGAGGTCTCCTATGACCAATCTTCCTTCCTCGCCTCTCCCTGGAACTCTCCCTCTTCTCTCCTAAAAACCC